ACTGTACGGAGGAAAGAAACATCTTATTGTCTTGTCCAGGGTCCCAGGGAAGATTTTGGATGATGTTGAAAATATCTGGGGTGTCTCTATAACTCAGAGAATAATGAGAAAAAGCAGATGGCACCTTTTCAGTGGCTTGTCCTGAACTGAGCCATTGCATTCTATCTCTTGGGATCAGCCTGGCGAATAGCCAGCTGAACGAACTTCAGAAGAGACAAGCTCATCGGCTGGCCCGCAGCAGCGGCCTTGCTGGCCAGCTGCCTAGGTAAAGAGAAGCACCAGGCAACGGAGGAAGCCACAAAGTTCTGTAAACACAGAGATACAAGCCCCGTCTCCACCGAGCCACCCCAGTGAACGGCATGCACACACACTCCCTTATCTCTCGCTTCATTTCCCATTACACAGGATTTGGGAAAAGCTGTCTCATCTGACCAGCTGATTAAGAGTTTGAACCAGCGGGGTGTTATCAGGGTTTGATCAGCCATTGTTATTAGAACCATTGACTACCTTGGGCTTTGAAGGAAAAAGTAATTTAGCAGGTCTTTCCTCCACTTTAGATTTTTTATATAAACTTTGCCCCTCTGTCACAGTGCTAGCCTGGGAGAAGTAGTGCCTAGGGGTTGAGTTCTCCAGGGTTCCTTTCTGTGTGGATAACCTGTGAATCAGGGCCTGTAAATTTGGAGCAGTGGTGCTTTCTGAAAGGTGCAGGGTTCCCTTTGCCATTTGGTGGATGCGATCAACAGCCTGCTATTGTATGTGATTAATTCTCCCCTTTGTTTAGTTTTCTTTTTTGTCATTCTTACAGAATGAATTGCAAGTGACATTGATTCACTGTGCTAAATTTGGAGTTGGAGTTGGTGGGAAATTTTGGGCCCAGCCCTGTCCCACCGGGGTTTTGCAGTGGAAGAGGCGTTTTAGGTTATGCAGCTCCTACAGGCAGACACGTGGAGAGGTGGTAGATGTTTCAGCTGTTTAGAAATGTCAAACGGCTAATTCTTCTCACCTGTGAAAACACAACTGGCATTAGAGCAGCTCTTGGCTTGCCCTGGTGACTCTACTGCTCAGCCCCAGAAGCCAGTGGGGGGAAATTGATCCCTTAACGTGGCGTTCTTCCTGGAGTTTCATTTTGTGTGTCATCATGCATTTGAGTTAGAGCAGCCAAGAGCTGGCCTCGTGTGGGTGCTGGAGGCAGTGTGGTCTGCTGGGGAAAGTGCTGGCTATGATTTCCAAAGGCTGAGGCTTCCAGCTTGGAGTTCTGCAGCTGTGGCCCATCATGGTGAGGCCAGGGGGCTGTGAGCTGCCCAGAGCAGGGGCTTCGAGGTGGCTTGTTAGGGGCCTGTCTCCTCTCACACCCCCTGCAGGGTGTGACTTGACACCTCACAGAATCAAATACAGATTCTCCACAACTGACCCTGAAGGAACGGCTCCAGTGAGGGGCGGGTCTTCCTGGCTCCTTGTGTCCTCAGAGATCCTTTACCTTCTGGGTATTGAGGGATGGGGCTCAGGGGCAGTGGCAATTAACATGGGACCCACATGCCTTTCCATGACCCTGAAAACATGTGTCTGAGCCAGATTAGTGTGGGGGTCCCTTGTGATATCGGGCAGCCTTTGCTGAAGGCCTGTGTGAGGGCCTCAGACTTCTGTTGTCTGATTATTTATCTACCCTTTTGCTCAGCCAGCATTGGTGGGGGAGCAGTGTCACTCTGAGGCCAGAGAAGGGGTGAAGGTTGAGTATCCAAGATCCCAAGATGAAGGTGGTTTTCAGGACAAAGTGAAGGGAGCCTGGGTCCTCTTTCGATATCCCCAGGGAGCCTGGCTGGGGTTATTCTAGCCTCTACTAGACACCTTTTCCACAGGTACCTAATGGATAATGCTTTCTTTTCCCAGGCAAGTGGAGATGCTCTATTGGGTTGTTGGAAAAGTCATGATGTATTTTGTCTGTTTTTCAAAGGTCACTTATTTATATAAAGAACAAAGATCAATCAATGATATATTGCCCATTTTGTTCGATAACCTTTTGCCATCTTTCAGTGAGGTTCATAATTCCTCATTCATAGAAGGACCTGTCTTTATTTGCGAAAAACGGAACAAGGTGCTGATTTACAGCCTCATCTGAATTGAATGTTATACCACGCAAGGAGTTTTGAAGAGAGCGAAACAAGTGGAAGTCTGATGGTGCAAGGTCAGGCGAGTATGGTGGGTGTGGCAACACATCTCATCCAAGCTCCAATCATTTTTGATGGGTGATCAAACTTGTGTGTGGTCTCGTGTAGTCACGATGGAACACAACTCCTTTATAATTAACAAGCTCTGGACGTTTCTGGATGATGGGTTCATTCAAACTGTCCAGTTGGTGACAGTACACATTCAAATTGATTGTTTGGTTCCTTGGTAGGAGCTCGAAAAAACACGACACCTTTAAAACCCCACCACACTGAGAGCATAACCTTCCTGTGATGAATGTCTGCTTTCGATGTCGTTTGAGGTGAATCATCATGTTGGGACCAAGACCGTTTGTGCACCACATTGTTGTCAACAATCCACTTCTCATCACCAGTTATCAGTCGCTTCAAAAAAGGATCATTTTCCTCACATTTAATGAGCATATTGCAGATGTTTATATGCGCTGTCAAATGAACTTCTTTGAGTTCATGCGGAACCCAAATATCAAGCTTGCTTACGTATCCCAGCTTCTTCAGGTGGCCGTGAATGCTTGAATGATGGATGTTCAATGTTTCTGCAATCTCTTGTGTCATGTAACGTGGGTTTGACTGGATCAATGCCTTTATTTTGTCGTCATCAACCTCGGTGGGCCTCCCTGACCGAGGAGCGTCGTTGAGATAAAAATCACCAGCACGGAATTTCGTGAACCATCGTTGGTACTGATGTTCTTGTAGAGAGCATTGTCACCATAAACTTGATGCAACTTTTCACAAGCTTGATGCGCGTTCTTCCCTTTATGGAAGTAAAACAGTAAAATATGGCAAAAATGCAGTTTGGTCTTCCACCTTCAACTTGATGTAAACTCTCCAAAACTCAACCAAATCACTCAATTTTTTTAGAATGAAGCTAGAACTGTCAGCTGTCAAATGACATAGCAATAACATAGATGTGAATGACTCTAGTACTTCCAAAAATGAACTAGTGCCATCTGTCGCAAACATGCGTAATGACATTTCCGACAACCCAATATTTCATAACGTGCCACATACCTTTTGAGGTGAATTGCATCCCCTTTCCAGGCTCTAGAGATAATATAGAGCAGCTTGTGTTCTCATTGAGCAGTGGGTCGGGATGTTCTGCTCTTTGAACTTCGGTGTGGATATTTTGTTTAAAGTCTCCTTGTGCAAGTCTTTTTTTCCACATGGCTCAGAGCTCAGCACCAACCGTGCCTGATTGGTGCTATTTAGTATTCTTTGCTATAGCTCTTCGGTTGCGTGCTTTCCGGAAACAATGCATAAAACTGCAGGTCAGGGTTGTTTTTGTAACATCTGGAGGGGAACTCTCTGCTGTCCCCGCTGTGTTCTGCACCTACACAGGCCCAAATGTGTCTTATCTATCTTCTTGGCATGTCTTGCTCTTTTCCTCCAGCGGGAAGGGCCCTGCTGGGGGTGGCTCATCCCCAAGGCAGCTTTTCAGTTCAAGACGAAGGTTGTAGAGCTTCATGGTTGCCCCTGTTTGTATGTGAACGCTTCTTTTTCTGTCTCTGGTGTGTGTTGGGATAGACTAGAGGATGTGTTTATAATTCTGCACCACTGCTACTTTCCTGTGTCCCCCCATATGTATGTGTTTTGTATGGTGGGGGGATGAGGCGGACACAGAAGGGAAACTGCATCTCCCAATTTTTTCTTTTTTATTTACTCGGTTATTATTATTTTTTTTTGAAGTCTAACGCGCATCCGGAAAAGTGCCCATATCATACATCCAATTTAATGAATTATCACAAATATGTGTAAACACCACTCAGCTTGAAAAGTAGAACATCGTGAGTACCTCCAGAAAGCCCCCTCTCCCCAACTACAACCCACTCACCCCTCCCCCGAGGTAACCATTACCCCGACCTCTAACACCACAGTTAAATTTCAGCTGCTTTGAATGTCAGATAAATGGAATTGGACAGTGAGTACGCCCTCGTCCCTGACGTCTTTTGCTCAGGGCTCTATTTGTGATTCATCTATGTGGCTACAGTTGAGTGGTGTTCATTGATTTTCATTGCCGAGTAGAGTTCTGTTGTATTTCTATACCACAATTTACTTATCCATTCTGGCATTGATGGACCTTTGGGTTTCTTCGTTTTTGGCCATTACATATTCAGCTGTGAACATTTTTGTATATGTCTTCCGGTAGACATCTGTATGCATGTCTGCTGGGTACGTGCCTAGAAATGGAATTGCTAGGTCATAGGGTGGTAGACACATGTTCAGCTATATTATTATAGAAACTGGCGAATTGTTTGCCAACGTGCTTGTAATGGTTTACACTCCCACCAGCAGCCTATGAGGGTTCCTGTTGCTCCATATCCTTGCCAGCACTTGGCGTTTTTGGTCATTTTTGGTGTTAGCCATCTAGTAGGTGTGAAGTGGTATCTCATTTGGATTTCTCTGGTAGCTAATATCGTTGAGTGCCTTTTCGTATGTTTATTGTCCATTTGGTTATTGTCTTTTGTCAAGTAGCTGTTCAAGTCTTTGGTCCATTATTTCCTTGGATAGCTGTATTTACCTTATTGATTTGTAGGAGTTCTTTATTGATTCTGGATAAGAACCTTTTGTTGGTTGTATGTGTTCCCAACCAAACTTAAGCTTTAAGCGCGCCTGGAGAAAACCTAACAGGTTCAGTGTAGGAGGCCCTCCCCCCGGCCCTGCCAGCCCAGTATAATGCTGGGTGTGGTTTCCCAGCGAGCGTTCTGACAGCCCACTCATGGCGGGGTGACGATTTAACCATCGGCCTCCTCTTTCCTGGTGCTGGATTATGACAGAACACCCTTTCTTCTTGATGTGCAGGGTCCTTGTGGGTGCACCGAAGGCAGATTCCAAGTACAGCACTTCAGTGAAGTCCCCTGGGGCTGTGTTCAAGTGCCGCATCCACACCAACCCTGACCGGAGATGCACCGAACTGGACATGGCTCGAGGTGGGTGGACGTCATTGCCAAGGTGGAATCGGGTTCTGCACCCTCATACTTTGCTCTTATTCTTCTCAGGGTGGCCTGATCATTCATCCACTCCTCCCTTCCCTCCTTCCCTCCCTCCCTCTCTCTCCCCCTCCCATTCATTGCACATTGAGTACCTATTACTTACTAAGCATTGGGATACACTGGTGAACAAAACAAAGACCCTGCCATCCATCCTGGGCCTTACAAATTAGTGGGCAAAAGAGACATTAACACAAATAGCTGAGTGCACGAAGACCAGTGGTGGGGGTGGGGGTGGGGGAGGGTAGCATTTGATCCATACATGACCAGAAAGATGCACAGTAGCTAGCTGGGGAGGCACCGGAGGCAGAACCTCTGAGCAGAGGAAAGCACATGCATTTGAAAGCACACGGTGAGGTCAGTGTCGCTGGAGTGCTGAGCAGGAGAGCCGGAGCAGAGGAGGTTGGCAGATGGGCTGGAGCTGGAGCTCACAGGACCCAGCAGGCTGAGGTAAGGGGTTAGGATTTTATTCTGTGTATGATGGGGGAGGCCATTACAATCAATTTGAGGGTTCATATTTTAAGTAGAGAAAGATAGGATTGATGGAAGTTTTCAAAAGCTCACGTTGGTCCAGTGGAAACGACACCATCTTTGGAATCAGATGGATCTGCCTGTGTTCTCTGAGTCCCGCTGGGCCAGTTACTAGTTGGGACTCATTGCGAATGTCCCCTAGCCTCTTTGGCCTCAGTTTCCTCACCTTTAAAATCAGGACTAAGATACCTACCTCACCGTATGACCTTGAGACGATGAAGGGAGATAATAGAGAGAAATATACAGAATTGTGCTTTGCACATAGTAGGTACTCAGTAAGTAGAGCTATTATAATCACTTCAACTCCTCACTTTCTCCAAAGTCCGTTCTCATCAGGAGCTTCTGATTATTATTACTTTTTTTTTTTAGATTTTTATTGGGGAATTGGGGGATGGGAACAGCGAGCGCTGGGGAACTGGGGGAGGGTAACAGACAAGTTGCTGTCCTTTTGTTGTTCAGTCTAGTTGTGGAGGACGTTGCTTCACTGGCCCAAGCTGGCACCATCATTGCGCTCTTCCCAGGTGAGGCAGATCAGTTGCCGGCTTCTGGATGGCCACTCATGGCGTCTTGAGGGCTACTTAAGCTGGCTGCACACGGTAGCCCATGGCAACCCACTGCAACAGGGGCTGCAGCGTACGCCGTCGCTGGCAACTCATGGCAGCCCAGCTCCAGGTTGAGCTGTTGTTCAGCATCTTAGCTGTAGAGGGCAGTGTCACTGGCCCTCATATGTGGGATCCAAACCAGGGCCCTCTGGCGTCCCAAGCCAGCTCTTAACCAACACGCCACTTGGCCGGCCCCTGATTATTTTTACTTGTGAATGAAGTATTGTCATGATTTTCTTTAGCGTTGGTCTTCAGCACTACTCAGAGTGGCTGATTGGTGACCTGTTTGTTACTGGTGCACAGCACGTCAGGGAGCTTGCTTCAGATGTAAATCAAGGCGCTGCTTCCTTCATGGAGAAAGTCTTGCTCTGAAAAAAACAGTTGGCTGAATTAAGCAGCATACATGGTAGTGGAGTTGATTTTGCACTTTGTTGCAAGTTCCTTATTTCCTCAGGAGCTGGTAAGAAATGTTCGGGCTGCAGACCACCCTTTGACAAGCCGCCAGCAGACCATCATTCCTCACCCCATGTCTGACTCGTCTCTTTTTCCTGCAGGGAAGAGTCGGGGCATGTCCTGTGGAAAGACCTGCCGGGAAGACCGGGATGATGAGTGGATGGGGGTGAGCCTGGCCCGGCAGCCCAAGGCTGATGGCCGAGTGCTGGTAAGGCCTCTGGCGGTGCGTAGGGAGGGGGTGGCTCTCAGAATAAATGACTCTGACCTCTTAGGAAAGCTGGATGGCATAGTAACAGGGCTCTGCTTTGAGGTGGCCTGTTCTGGACGACTACTTGGACACATGACACATCTTTTCATTTTCTTCAACTGTCAGATGTTAATAATGTCTGTCCCAGGGGTGCTGAGATGTGGCTAATGAAAGATGACAAACTGTGTCATAAAAGTGCTTTGTAAATCTTGTTCATTACATAAATATTTGTGTTCATTACATAAATATTAAGTTGGGGCATAATTTACAGAAAATGCACAGATCTTAAGATTACGTACCCACCCCATCAAGATACAGACTATTTTTTGTCATTCTAAAACGTTCTCTTATGTTCCTGTCTAGTCAGTTCCTTCCACCCCGAGGCAACCACTGGTGTGAATTGCAGCGCCATGGGTTACTTTTGCTTTTTATAGAACTTCGTAAAAATGGAATTCCACAGTGTGTGCTCTTTTGTGTAAGGCTCCTTCCATCCAAAAGAATTAATCCATGTGAGATTAATCCATGTGTGTATTAGTAGTTCATTCCTCTTTATTCCTAAAGTGGTATTATAGTTTATGAAATACATGTTATTTTTAAATAGTCGTTTATTTGGCTCCCAGAATGCATATGATGAATTCTGATCCAGGAGGTGCTTTGAGGGAGAGGCACAGAGAAAGAAGTCATTGCCCTCGAGATTGACATTTTCCTAGAGCTGTCCATCCAGTAAGGTAGCTAGCTGTCAGTCACATGTAGTTATTAGCGTTTACATTGATCTAAATTAAAATTTCAATTCTTCAGGCAAGCTAGCCACATGTTGCGTGGTCAATAGCCACAGATGGCTCCTGGCTACTGGAGTGGACAGCACCAAGAGAGAACATTTCCATTATTGCAGAAAGCTTTATTGGATCAACAAAAAGGAATTTATAACTGCTTCAGGGCTGGTTTTTTTTTTTCATTCTCTTTCACCCTTTTCTATTGAGATCTAACACTCACGTACTTAATACGCATGACTTCAAGCGACCAGCTTGGTGAGTTTTTTCATAGCCATATACTCACGCATCCCCATTGCTACCTCCTCGTGCCACTCCCCACGGAGGTAACCAGTGTCCTGACTTCGTAGGACTTTTCTTGCCATGCATGGGCTTCCTTGGGAAGCTGTATGAGTCTTTTGTTATAAAAACATAAGATCAAGAAGGCAAAATAATGATAGTTGCCGTTTATTGAGGGCTCCCTTTGGGCCATATGCTGTAAGCAGAGGGTATTACATATATTTTATCCCAAGGGATACAGGTTATCCTGAAGGATCTAGGCAAAATGTTCCCGTCCCGTGTCTGAGGAGCCTGCTGTTGTGTTAAGTTTCTCCATGGCGGAGGCTGCTTATTTGAATCCCGCCTGTTTTCTCAGCACAAATTAAGCATCTCCCCCTTTTCAGCCCCTTGTGTGGAGGGAGGGAACAGCTGGATGCTGTCACCAGTGTTGCGGGGCCTCCCTACTGGAAACCATTGCAGGCCCTGTTGAGGGTCCCTGACCCCGCTGTTTGTCTTGGTTCCTATTCCCTTAATCACTGTCACGGGCTGCCCTGGACCCTCTCCAATTCTCTACATTCCTCTAGATGTATTGGCCTGACCCTGACTGGACAACTCAGCCCCAGGAGGACCAGAAGGCTTGCTTGCCCTCCTATGGAAAGGAGGAAACCAGCTGATCCGTCTAAAATCAGGGTGGCCTGAGGTTGAGATTCAAAACTGAGGAGGCAGGATAACACGTGATGCCCTCGAGAGCTTGGTTCCTACAGCCAGAGGTTGCTCCTGTGAAAACAGGTTTTCTCCCCATGGAAGAATAACCTCTATGGGGCTGAGAGTCTGTTTCCAGAGGGTTCTGCTTTATTGTAAATTAGTATCAGGAAGGGGCCATGGCTTGGGACATGAACAGCAGTGAGGATCATGGGAACGATTAGCAAAGAAGGCTGTGAAGACAGAGTTAGGGTAATGGTGCTATGATAATTCTGCTCTAATTCATTGCACACAGAGCTATTTTTCTCACGATTTAAATAGTTATGGCACCCTCCATTCAGAAAGCCCTGTATGTGGGTGCTGGAGAGAGAGGTGCATCCAACAGCATCCATTTCCCTCATGGCTTTTCAAAAAATTTGTCAAAAGTACAACATACATTTTACCATTGTATCTATTGGGTTGTCGGAAAAGTCATGACGCGTTTTCACAATGAAAAAGAGAAAAAAACACTTCATGACTTTTCCAACAACCCAATATTTTTAAGTGTACAGTACAGCAGTGCCACCTGAATGCACGTTGTTCTGACGGATCTCTAGAACTTTTTAATCTTGCAAAACTGAAACTCTACCCGTTTAACAATTCCCTTTGTCCCTCTCCACCAGCCACTGGCGACTTCCAATCTTCTTTCTCTTTGTAAGAGTGACTACTTTAGATAATACTGCATGATTTCTCTTCTATGCATTGTCTTCTTGTGACTGGCTCATTTCACTTAGCATAATGTCCTCAAGGTTCATCCATATTGTAGCATGTGACAGGATTTCCTTCTGTTTTAGGGCTGAATAGTATTTCATCATATATATATATATATATATATATATGTATATATTTTCACATTTTTTTCATTCGTTCATGCATTGATGGATATTTGGGTTGCTTCCACCTCTTAGCTATTGTGAATGATGCTGATATGAACATGGGTATGCAAATCTCTCTTCAATATCCTCTTTTCAATTCTTTTGTATATATACTCAGAAGTGGAATTGCTAAAGTCTATGGTACTTCTTATCTTTAAGTTTTTTGAGGAACCACCATGCTATTTCCGACAGTGGCTGTATCATTTTACATTCCCACCAGCAGCACACAAAAGAAGGGTTCCAATTTCTCCACATCATCACCAACACTTACTTTTTTTCTTTCTTTTTTAAACAGTAGCCATCCTAATGGGTGTGAGATGATATTTCATGGTGGCTTTGAGCTTCATTTCCCTAATGGTTAGTGATGTTGAGCATCTTTTCATGTGCTTTTTGGCCATTTGTACGAGGTGTGATCAAACGATATGGTGAATGTTTAAATAAAAATGTATGACAATAAAAGACACATTGCCACTAATCCCCCTCAAAATACTCCATCTCGCTTCAAATACATGCATCCCATCATTCTTGCCACTTTCTGAAGCAGTTCTGACAGTCCTCTTTCATGAGTCTCTTTAGTTAAGCTGTTGTGGTTACCCTGATGTCCTGAATCAATTCAAAACTTTTACCTTTCGTGATCATTTTCACTTTGGGGAAGAGCCAGAAGTTGCATGATGCCAGACCCAGTGAATAAGGTGGATGACACACTGTAATGTTTTTATTTGACAGAAATTGCCATACCAGAAGCAATGTGTGACACAGAGCCTTTCTGTTGTGATCACAAAATACTGTGAATGCTGCTGTTGAGTGCCATCCAACAGAAAGGCGGGGATCTTCAATACGGAAGTGGCGCGTTGAGCCTTAGTAATGGTGTGTGGCAAGTTTCAACTTGTTCTGTGCAGTCAGGTGTGAGCTATGGTTGAGAGAAGTTGTGTTTTAACGTGTGCCGTAAATCATCCTCCATCATGACAACGCTCCGTGTCACACATCGCTTCTAGTATATGGCAATTTCTGTCAAAAACATTATGGTGTGTCCTCATCCACCTTAATCACTGGACGTGGCACCATACAACTTCTGGCTCTTCCCCAAAGTCAAAATAATTCAGGACACTGAGGCAGCCATGAAAATGCAACTAAAGACACTCATGAAAGAGGACTTCCAGAGCTGCTTCAGAAAGTGGTAAGAACGATGGGAGAAAAGTGTGTTCAAAGCGAGGGGGAATATATTGAGGGGGGATTAATGGCAATGTGTCTTTTATTGTAATACATTTTCTAAATTTAAACATTCATCATAGTTTTTGACCACACCTCATATATCTTCTTTGGAGAAATGTCTGACTTGTCATAAGTCCCCTCTGTTCCCACCCTCCTCTGTCCTCCCTGGTTTAGACTCTGCATCCTCTATGAGGCCTGCCATTGGTGACAGTGCTGTCTGGGACAAGCTTAGCATCTTTTGTATCATTAGGAACTCAGCATTATATGGTCACTTTATGTGTATAATTTATTTTGGGTGTGTGTCCTTTTATATGGAAACCACTAGGGGACAGACACCAAATCTTCTATTCTTTTAACTTTAGTGATTGGAGAAGAGCTCTCTAAGGAGTGCTGTCTAAAAGTAGGTTTGGGTAATATAGGGGCAGAGTGTCAACATTAAAACTATTAGAAGCCAACTCAGTTGCCAGTTCTTTTTGGTGGCTGATTCTAAGTGGTTGATAAAAGCATGAAGTAAAATGCTGTGAAATGCCTCTTAGAAATGGTAGGTGACAAGTACCAGGAGTGGTGACCTAGTCACATGTACATTTCAAAGGCCTCATATCCACATGCTTTTTAGTGTCTCAAATCTACCTGTGAAAGCTTTCTTGGAGGCAAGTATTTATCTTAAAAATCAAAAACAGGAAGGTATGTTTTATTCAAACACATTTTGAGAACTCAGAAGGTACCTGGGGGTGTGGACATGAGACCTGTATCCGCAAGGAGCATAATATTGGATTCTAAGGTTGGGTTGAAGGGGAACAGGTAAAGTGGCATTTTGAAAATGGCATCTGATGCTGATTTCAAAGTAAAGAACAAAGGAAGAATTTGAAAGCTGTGACAGGGAGTCAAGTGCCTCAATACAGAATGGCATTTTCTGGCACATGGACCTAGCAATCAGCTCTGGCAAGACCCAGGCCATTGGGCTGGGCAGGCAGGCTGACCTTGGCTTAGCCTCTGCCAGTCTCGGCTAAGTTTTCCCCCAGGGAACAAATGATACCAGGTGTGAACACAGCATGGGGAATAGAGAGAGGCAAGCCCCTTCTCTTGGTACACTCTCACCCCAAACTCCCAGTGTGCAGAAGGCAGTTTAAGAAATAGGGGGGGGGGGAAATCACTTTCTGCCATCACCACCCAACAAACCCAGCATAGGCACTAACTCTTTTCTTTGACCTGGGAGGGCAACGCAAAATGTCCAAGTCTGGTTTCTGCTTTTCATTTGTCTCCAAGGCTCAGACAACAAATAATGTGAGCGCCTAGATTATTTCTGGGTGAAGCAGGGTTGTCCGGCTCTATCTCTGCTGTTTCCTTTGCAAACATCAGAGCAGTCCCTGTCTATTTGCCATGTCTCATCTGTCCCTGTTTTTCAGAGCCACAGGGTACATTTTTACATTTACTTTGGTGGCTCTGTTTCCTGATTTATTTTTAAGTGAGCTTTTTATTGAGCTATAACACACACGCAGGAAAGTGCACAAATAATCTGTGTGCACCTTGGTGAATTTTCATTGGAAGAACATCCTCAGATGGACTTTTCCAGCACCCCAGAACCCTTTTGCTGTGCCTCCAGGGCCACTTCTTCTCTTGGCTGGGGGAAGGGACGTCTTTCTGTGGCATCACAGCCCTGTTCCCTCTACCTACTGTGCTCAGTGGCTCAGGGGTGGACCCGAGGGCCTGGTTAGAGCTCTGGCCATCTGTGAATGCACGTGTAAGAGGGTGGGGGTGGGGACTTAGGTTCCTTTGTGGCTGAGACACAGGGAGAAGCCCAGTCCCTCTCACCCCTCTTAGGACATGCTGTTTCCATACCACAAAAAAGGCCTTTGAAATAAATGGCTCATTTTCTCCTTTTGGGAGGAAAAACAATCCTTGTAACTTGAAATAAGTCCGATTCTAAGATTTGAGGTGGTGCTAGCCCCTCCTACCCTTTGTTATGATTGTTTGGAATATGAGTTTGATTGGGTCTTGCTGTTTCCAGAGAACATTCTCTTTTTCCTATTCTTCCCTCTCTGCCCCCTTTCTCCCTCAGAGCAGAGCTCATTTGGAGAGATTGATGGAGTTATTAATGCTTTGGAGACAGTCCCTAGGAGTTTTTTTTTAATGTAGGGGTCAGACTGACGTGTGTATATATAATGATAATCAGGGCTAAGCAGCCTTTTTATAATTTATATTCAGAGGCATTTTTCCTTGTTTTCCTACATGCATACTGCCTTTCACACTTTGATCTCTGACCTTACAGAATGCCTTAATTTTAGTTTTGTTTACTGTGAAATGCAATATTTGGATTTTCTAGGAATTTTTAAAGATTGCTTCTTAGCTTATGGTACTTATAAAACAAAACAAATGAGACAATAAACTAGACATTAAATGCAGAAAGTCCTCCCTCATGATGGCCTCATGATAAACATCCGCTTCTTTTTATGGTCCCTCCAACCCAGAAATACAGTAAAACATGGTAAGCCCTTGAAACCAAGGGCTTTGCTGAATCCATAAACGAAAATATAACTGATTTACTAGCTAATTAGATGATAAGTGATTCAAGTTTGCAAGCCATCAGAATTAAGTCAGAACTAAAAATAAAAAAAAAATTACTTAGCTAAATAGAATGATTATCAGTGACACATTTTTGGAGCTCCTTGCCCCATATCACTGCAGTCTATTGAGAACTGTGCTATGAGCACAAAACTGTACCAAGTGCGGAGGACCGAGGGTGGTTTGCAGCATAAGGAAGAACAAGAGGCTTTTTTTTACAGTTTCATGTCATAGGGCGAGAGGCAGTGTGTGGGCAGGCTCAGGTTTCCAGTTGTTCTGTGTGTGTCTTCTTTGCCCTTGGGCAGAAAGTGGCCTTCTCAAGGGTCCTACTGGCAGTTGGCCTGAAGGGATGATGAGCAGAGAGGCTGGCAAGCAGTGATTTTTCATAGGATGACCAGGCTCCAGAGAGCCCCATCCCGTCTCCTTCCCCCCTCAGTGACCTGGGCATTCCATTTGACCCCAGAGTGGTTATTTCAGGGGTCTCGGGTCCTGTGGGGAAGTCTGTAAGGACAATAGCTACCAGACCTGCCTCAGGGGGTGGGCTCTGATGGCTTCTCAGATAGAAATTGGGACTTTTAAGATGGAAAATGTTTTCTAGTAAGACCAGGAAGACTCTGAAATTGGTGTGTTCCAGTTTTATTTGCAGCACTTACTAGCACGGTAACTTGGGCAAAGCACTCTCTGACATTCAGGGTGCCCATATAGAAAATGGGAATTCTAAAGACAAATCTGCCCACTTTCCAGGGTTGCAAAAGTCAGGCGTGGACCACGTGAATGCTGAATGTTATGGCCTATAGTGCATTCTAAGGAAACAAACCAAGACGTTAAAAACTGATAATTTTAAAATGCAGGGGCGGCCAGTTAGCTCAGGTGGTTGGAGCATAGGCTCAATCGTGCCGGGGTTGTCGGTTCGATTCCCACATGGGCCAAGGAGCTGCACCCTCCGCAACTAGATTGAAACAACTACTTGACTTGGAGCTGATGGGTCCTGGAACAACACACTGTTCTCCAATAAAATTTCTTAAAAACAAAATTGCAGTCTGTTGGCCAGAGCGAAGTGATCTGTTGGCAGAAGTGGGTGGTGAATGCCCACGAGAAATGAGTCGGGCTGGGCAGAGTGCACCGCCCTCTGAGTAAGCAGGTCAGCTCCTAATCAGCCTGTGGGCGTTCACATGTGCAGACACACACTCGTGTACCTAGAGTGGGCAGTTGTGTCCAAGCGCGAGGCTGGGTGTGTTCTGTGGTGGGCGGGGCAGGGTGCTTCGAGTCTAGCGCCTGTGCTGAGAACCGCCCTTCCCGCGCATCTCGCAAGTTGGACCCCGGTGCTCTTGAGGGCTGACCAAGGGTCTGTCTGTCCCTGACGACCTCGTCCCCTCACACATGCCGAGCTCTTGCCCACCTCAGGGACCCCTACCCTGAACCTTCTCTCAGGCCCCCTCCCAGCTGCTGTCTCTCCAGGTCTCTGCTCAGATGTCATCTCCTCAGAGGGGCCTCCCCTGACCAGCCTGTCAAAACCAGCCACTTCCTGGCATGAGGGAACTTCCTGGTAGGATGTTGCTTATCTTGCTAAGGGTTTGGTTACATGAGCAAATGCCTTTATCAAACCTCACTGAATGGTACATTGGAGATCTGTGCATTTTGCTGTGAGTTTGCTTCAAAAAAAGAACCATCAGCAAGCATTTACTTCTAGTTAATGATATGCATGCTGAAGTGTTTCTGTAGGTAAAAAACAAAAACAAAAATCGAATATTAGCAATTTTATATGGTTCAGCTCTAAACAGGGGCTCCCCAAAGTGTGTTCCACAGACCGGCAGCCTCAGGGTCACCTGGGAGATTGTTAGAGGTGCAGATTCTTGGGGCCCACTCCAAGCCCTCTGAGCAAGAATCTCGGAGGTGGGACCCACCAATCTGTTTTAATAAGGCTTCCAGGTGACTCTGATGGGTTTCAAGTTTGGAGGCTGATCCAGCAGGTGTTGGGGTGGGCAGGGGAGCAGTCTCTTGTGTCCTTAGATTTTTCTCAGTGTGTGTTCCCTCATGAGGACTCAAGTCTGCCTCCCCCGGACCCAAGAGAAGGGCCGTAACTGTTCACTGCTGTATCCTCAGTACCTAGCACAGAGCCTGGCACACAGCAGGTGCTCAGTAAATACCTGATGAGTGAATATATGCACAGTTGCTCATGTGGGGGTATGCACAGCAGACCCATCCTGGCCTGAGGGCCCCAAGGTGGGTGTTGCGTGGTTGTCTTAGCCTTCGCCTGGCTTGCGTTTTCTTCCTTTCCTGCTCTCCGCCCATCTATCTAGCAGAGCCCGTCAGCTGCACCTCCAGCATGCATCCCGAAGCTCCCTTCTGTCATCTCCACCACCCCGGTCCTGGTCCAGGCCAGTAGCATCTCTCCCCTGGATGTCCACCTCCACTCATTCCCACCTGCAGTCTCCACACAGCAGCTGGGTTACTTTTCCAAACTGTAAATAGGATCACACCACTCACCTGTGTAAGACAGCGTCCGCTTCACATTGTACATCTGCTAAAATAATTGTTGTCCCCGTGGTCTGCAGGAGGCGCCCGTCTCCCCTCCATTCCACGGCCTGGCCCCTGGACCCTCTGACCCTGTCTCCCTCCGACCACAGTCACTCCAGACCAGCCCCACTGGCCTCCGTATTTCTCTTGGACCTATAAGCCTTTCTCACTCACGTGCCTCCTTTGCGCCTGGCACCCCCTTTTCCTGGAACACTCTTCCCTGTATGCTCTTTCTCATTCTTTAGGCCTTCGCACTCGCAGGCTCTACCCCATAACACGGGCTTTCCTCCCCACTGCTCGGCACCAGCTGCGATCCTTGTGTAGATGTGTGTTTATTGTCTGGCTCCTCCCAGGGCTTGTTCCTGTTCGGTTTGCAGGTGCCCATCACACAGTTTGCTGAGGCCCAGAAAAGCTCCCGGTCCAAGGTGTGGCTGGGTGGGAGGAGAGAAACGGGCTTCCTGGCCCCTCCTTCCTTCCCCTGAACCACCTGGCACTGTTGGGGTCTGCTTCGCGACCTCCTGGGGCTGACTTTCCCGCTCTGAACGCCTCTCTGTGTCCTTTAGGCCTGCGCCCACCGCTGGAAGAACATCTACTACGAGACAGACCATATCCTGCCCCACGGCTTCTGTTACATCATCCCATCCAACCTCCAAGCCAAAGGCAGGACGCTGATCCCGTGCTATGAAGGTGAGCGCTGTTGATTCTCCCTCACCTCTGCCCACGTTGTGCTGTAAACAACCCCCCACCCATCTCCATTTCCCCCCAGCTTTCCAAACTCGTAAGAGGAGGGCAGCGCTGTGTCCACAGATGGTAATGAGGAGTGTGAGAAGGGGGCAGCAGTTCCAGGACCTGCCCAGCCTTGCCCATGTCTGCCACGGAGCCCATGGTGCTTACCACGTTTATGAAACCTCAGAGACCTAAATTCACCAAACCTCAGCTAAGCGTTCTAAACCTCAGAGTTCTTGGTTTACTGGCACTGCTAGATGCTGTGCAACCTTGGGAAACTTACTTTCTCTCTCTGGACCTCAGTTTTCTTACCAGAAAATTCAGAGGTTGGCTCAGATGGTCTCTGTAGTCCTGTGTATTATGGCTCCCAGATGTACATAAGCCTCCCGAGACAGCTCCTGGCCACACCTGTGGACAGATGTCCTGAGGCAGCGGCCAGACAAGGCCCAGGATTTAGTTTTCATAGCATCTGAACTTGCCTAGCCCATGCCCCCTGTCAGACACCCGAGGATTGGGTGCGCTCTCAGCATAATTTTAAGAGCTCCTCACTGAGGGGCGTTTGGGGGTCTTGGAAGGAAAATGTATTTCCTCAGGCTCCCTGCTTAGAGTCTTCAGACACCTGGGCCCTGGGGACAACTGAGGTGATCATTATTTAGCTCAGTGGAACCTGTCTTTAAGGATTCAGAAAATGCTGTCATTTTCTTCTGTTTTATAGCTTGTCCGCTCAGGTTTTTTCTTAGCCTAATTCCAAGTGAGCTAGAACCTGTTTCCTCTCTAAGTGCTGGCTGTTTATATTTTAATTTTCTCCCTAATTTATTTGTTTGGACAGATTTCTCCACTGGTCTATGCCCACATTTCCTTTGGGCCTCCCTGGGTTTTCCCAGGTTTCAGATTTTGTGACCACCAAAGAGGATTCTGAGGAATGCCATCTGGGCACATGCCTTTTTCTGCCTTGTGGAGGAGCCTGCAGGCCCTGAAGGGGACTCAGGTGGCCCTAGCAGGGTGTTCTGTGAAATGGCCCTGCAGAAGAGCTGGCAGGGTCCCTGGAGGAGGCACAAACTCTTTCCTTTCAGGAGGGTGAGCCTTCCTCCCCAGTGTCAACATTTGATCCCCTCTGGCCAGGCCACGTGGGGAAACTGAACTCTGGCCCTGTTTATCTCTGTATTGCCCCAGACAGAAGAAAACTTTATCTGAAAAATAAATGATAATGTATGCGCAATTGGTCAGGTAGTATAAATAGACGAACATAGGGTCAAGACCGTGTTCTGACGGGCCAGCGTATCCCTCCCTTTTTTCCCCATGGAAATGGTGAGGTCTGAGGGGGTGTGGGTGGGCCCCGTAGGGGGACTTCTGTGTTGCCATTCTCCTGTTATACTGTGAGGAAGTGGAGACTCAGAGTTTAAACCAACGGTCACTCATCCGGTAAATGGTAGATAGAGCCGGGTTTTGAATTTTGCATCTGCCTGACCTCAGCAAACCACTGTGTGCCCTGGTGGGTAAGTGGTGATTTCTGTTTGGGTTTTGGAATTTCCCATGTCAGCGAGAAGTCAGTAAGAACCTGTCAGAAGAGAGGGTGACTGTTTGAACTATCCCAAAGGTATAGTCACGAGGTGAGCGGAATGTCTGCCTGCTGTCCTGTTGCCTTTGCTGGCGGCTCTGGCGTGATGCTGGGCAGCAATGTGGACGCCTGTGTGAGCTGCGGAGAGCAGCCGCAGGCCTGGGTGACAGGCTGGGCTCAGGTCTGCCCCACTTGTCCCTCATCTACAAAAGAGTGTGTGAGCTCTGAGCCTTGGCCAAGAGGCCTGGTGTCTCCCCCCACCCCTCTGGGCGCTTCGGACCATGGCCATAAAACATGCCCCTTGGAGCTCACTGATCCCAGAAGAGAGACGTGTGGAACAGACCTGCACTGAACCTGCCGCCAGAAACCAACTAGATCAGCTGATCTGTAGATGTCTGAGTGAGAAATGAACACTTGTTATTGTTCGCCATGGAGATGTCATGGTCGTTAGGCAGTAATAGCTGAGTGACACAGGGCTCATCTCAGGAACCGAAATTCCTCTTAACCGTGGCTGTGAGATTGACTCAGGCCTCCAGGATTGCCTTTCCGTGTTCCCTGACTTAATGATGACCGAATGGAGCCAGCAAAGAAATGAGCAAAATAGTCGTGGCCCCACCCAGTCCTCCTTCTCCACGGTCACACATGCACACGTTTGCACCCTCACTCATTCATTGAGCCAGCGAGGAGGAATAAGGGGTGGCGCTGGGGTGGGCAGTGTTGGCCCCTTAGAACGAGGGACTGAACAGAACGATTCTATGGTTCTTGGTTATATAAGAGATGAGAGGTGGCAGACACTCTGATTTCTCTAGAAGACTGGACTGGCAGGGTGGGGAATGCAGGCCAGAGCTCTCTTGCCTGTGCTCTGTTAGCTTTGGGGATCTTCACCTCTCTATTTTGTGACCTAAACGCAACCTACTTTGGCTCTGAAGGCAACCGTTGTTTCTAGTTAATGTGGAAAAACTCAGTGACACAAGCTCTCTATTCATTGGGTGGGGGAATCACATTATGGTCAAGTACAATGGAAGTATTTTAGAAGTTGACATGACCTTTCAGATACCACCTAGCCAGCCTGTCTTTGTTTAGGTCTAGAGGTGTGGCGTGGCTTTCTCAAGGCCAAGTTTTTCTTTCCATTCTGTTATCCATGTGCCACACAATGGAGTGTAGCATGGTGGCTAAGAGCACAGACTTTGGACGCAGACTGCCAGGGTTCAAGCCCTGACTCTGCCACTTGATAATGGTGTGACCTCAGATGAGGTATTTAACCTCTTTCTGCCTAACCTACCTGAAGGGGCTGTGGAGAGTATTGAGTTAATATGGGTAAGTTCTTAGAACAGTGCCTGGCCTGTATATGCTGATAACTACTATATGCTAACACACCATATTATGTGTTGATGTACTGCATGCCAAGCAAGTGTTTGTTAATCACCACGGGGTGACTAATTTGTCTACCAGAAAGAGTCCACTTATTAAGTACCCGTTAGACACTGTGGGAAGTGCCTGATAGATAAAACCCAAGTGACACAGTCCCAGCTATCAAGAAGTTCCCCGTCTACAGGGGAAAACAGAGGGAACACGATGTTTCAAAACCCATGCCATTGTATACTGCCGGGCACCTCTGCCCCAGGACCCAAGGTGGCATTAAGGCAGGATTATTTCATTTTCCAACTGGAAAAACAGACCTGCGTAGAGTCGGACACCTGTTGGGGCCCATAGAGGAGAGGATGGTGGGAATCCACTGTTGGTCCTGGCAGGGGGTACAGGGCTGGGGAGGAAGGGGAAGGGGTACGCTTCCTGTGGAATAGTGGAAAGACCACGGAGGGGCTGTGGGATGCTTGGTTGAGGCTCGCTTTTCCATGTTTCTGCCACCGTGGCCGCAGGCCTGTGGCTGGACCCTCCGTGGGAATGGGAATGGATGCTGTAATGGCTCCATTGCATTGACTCCTGAGGGTTATTGTGAGGGTGTCCTGAGAAAACTCAGGTGAAAGTACTCAGCAAGACCACACATTGCTCTATAATTGTGGCCTTACTGTTGGTCCCCTTGAGGGTCGGCTGTCATCTCTTCAGAATGTTGGAAGGTTGGTTTAATTGAGGAAAGCCTCTAAGTGTGTGGGCACCTGTCCAAAATGTCTCAAACTTTTGAATTCTTAAAAAATTGGCCTTTGGTTTGGCACGGGGACCTTTTTCTCATGACTTTTCAGGTGCTTCCTGTTTCTGGTTGGGTGGGAAATGCTATCAGAATATCCTGTTTGAAACTGGGAAATGGAGAAGGAATGGGAAACAAAAATGAATTTAGGACACAAAGTAAAATAAACCAGTGGAGCATATACCCTTAAGTCAGACCGTTTCGTTTACGTCTGATACGAGAACAGCATCATCACTCCCATATGTTGTTTGGTTTTATCAGAACGTGTGGGAAAACGAGAGGTGCAGTGGGATGACATATGGGGGAAACTTTGTAAATTAAAGAGCAAGAACTATAAAACGTTAGTTACTTATCAGCCAAGTCCTGATATTTTAGGGCTCCCAAAAGTTGTCAGTGCATTGATAACATCAGGTACAGACATTCCTTCCTTTGCCCTTGAGCCATTGAGACAAGAAGCCAGAGCTTGGAGGGAGTGAGGCTGTAAACAAGTCATCTTTTTATTGTAACAGAAAAGTCTCACTAATATGGAATAATCTGTGAGCAGCTCGGCTAAATTAACAGAAAGTGTTCCGAATAAAACATTGACAAAGACATGCAATTAGGGTGCCATTGTGTATTAGACCTAATTTCAGACCTGGCTTTGCTACTCACTTATTCCTGTGATTTAACCCATAGCTCCTGTGTTCTGACTGGGTGATGTTCGGCAAACCCCTTAAGCCTCAGTGCCCTCATCTGTAAAATCGGGGAGGTTAATCCCTACCTAAGAGATATGTACTGTGCTTAACACACAGTTCCTAGCTCAGAGTGAACACTCGATAAATGTGAATTTTCTAATTAACTTTCAAGTACTATAATAGCATTCTTCAGCGTTCTCAGAAGGGTATCTAGCAGATCCTGCTTAAATGAATAGATAATGTAGGATAGAAAGCTGGGTGTTAATAAAATGAAGTTAAGACTTCTTGAAAAGATCATTTCTTAAATACTTTGAAGATCATGTTTGCACAGTGGAGTTGCTGGTTAAGCCCTCCTCTCCACTTTTTGTAGATGAGCTAAAGTTTAACTCATGCCATGTTTAAATGTTCTCAAGTTTGGAATTGTTGGGTTCTGAATTTATCAAATTTTACTGTGCTTTAAAATGGTCCCATTGCGTCCAAAGATTTCTGTACCACTTTCTTTATTGCCAGGGGGTGGCTGACCTTTTATTCCTAATAGCTTTTATCTCCAAAGACAGTGATCATTGCTAGAGAAGGAAATAGATCA